GCCCTGCGCCGCTGCTGCTGCCGCCGAGCGCGCGGCCGCCGCCGCCGCGGCCGCCGCCGCCGCCGCCGCCGCCGGAATCGGCGCCGGCGTCGGCGTCGGACAGGCTCTGCTTGAGTCGCGCGATGCGCAGTGTGCGCGCCAGGCGCAGGCGCGACGTGCGCAGCGCGGCGCGCGCCTGCGGTGGCACAGGTCACATGAAATGCGCAGTACACACGTGTACATGTCAAGGGTACGAGGATGCCGGGCAGCTTGAGAATGTGAACGGGATTCACACACATGATAAGGCCCCAGATCAAAGGCCAGCTAGATGAGTTGTCAGATTCAAACTCTGGCTCAAATCAATTCAATTCAGATCAGATCAGATCGCACCTGCTCGAGGTACCAAGCCCTCCGCCGCCGCTGCAGCGCCGCCGCCGTCGCCGCCCGCTCCTGCTCCACGCACGCCGCCACCTCAGCGTACGTTCCTGACCCGAGAAGCTTCTGCTGCAGCCTCAGAAGAATCCAAAGTATTAGATCGGCGAGCGACGCCGACCCCGCGAGCAGGCTGACGGCCGCCGCGCCGCCGCCGCCCGGCGCGTCCGGCCGCCATGCGCCCGCGCCGCCGAGCGAAGACACGGCGCGCCGCAGGAGCGACACGGCCGCGGCCGCTACGGCGATCGAGGGTGAGGGCGAGCCGCTTCCCGTGGCGGAGGATGAGGGGGTGTGGATGAGGTAAGGCGCGCCCCAGCCCTCAAGGGTCGGCCAGCTGATGAGTTTGCAGAGCCCTATGAGCTGCGGCGCCGTGCAGTGGGCGGCCTCTCCCAGCTGGCAGGTGTTTGCCCAGGACGGGCCCAGCAGAACCTCCCAGGGCGCCTGCGGGGCGGGGGCATAACGAGATATGTATGCAGACACTTGTCATATTCATCACAAAAGTGGTCGGCTTGTTGGGATGATGGTTTGTGCTGGTTTCGCCAAGTGGTTGAGGCATACGCACATAAGAACACGCGTGCGTGCGTGCGTGCGTGCATGCGTGTGCGCGTGCGTGCATGCGTGCGTGCGTGCGTGCGTCTGTGTGTGTTCGTGTGTGGATGCGCGTGTCAGCATGTGTGCGTGTGTGTGTGCATGTATGTGCGTGCGTGCATACATGCGCGCGTGTGTGCGTGCGCGCGCATGCGTGAGAGAGAGAGAGAGAGAGAGAGAGAGAGAGAGAGAGTGTGTGTGTGTGTATGTGTGTGTGTCGCACCTGGTAGATCAGCGTGAGGGTGATGGCCGCGAGGTTGAACCTCAGGAGAACCCCAAACAGCGGCGACCCCCCTGGCGCCGCCAGCCGCGCCCGCTGGCGGAAGCCGAACAGGCCCAGGGCCAGGTACCCCGCGTGCAGCGCGTCGCGCTGCAGCGCGCACGACGCGACGGTGGCGACTAATAGCAGGTCCGTACTGCGCTTAGTCAGCTCGTACCGCAGCCAGTCCGCCCAGCCCCAGGACGCCCGGTCGGCGTAGTCCAGCTTCCGGGCGGCTTCCAAAGCCGCCGTCGGGGCCCCGTCCGCCGGCGGCGCAGCTGCGGACGGCGGCGGGGGGCCGGCGGCGCTGGCGGCGGCGGCGCCGGCGGCGGTCGGCGTCTGCAGCACTTGTAGTGACAGCTCCAGCTCGCCGCCGCTGCTGCTGGGCGCCAGCCCCTGCAGCAGCGGCCTCTCCAGATCACCTTCCTCCGACTCGTCACCGCCCGCCCGCCAGGCGGCGCGGCCCGGCCGCGGCTCCACCCATTGGGCAGGCCCGAGCCCGCGCCGCGGGAGGCCCTCCCAGCGCCGCTGAATCACCTCTGACGGGTCTGCCACCACCGCCGCCGCCTCGTCGCCGGCGGCGGCCTCGGCAACAGATCGTTTGCGGTCGGCGTGCATCTGCAGCGTCGCAAGGGCGAGCGCCGCGAAGAGAGCCCACAGGTGCGGCGCCCGCACGTCTGCCGCGCCCGCCCAACGCAGCAGCAGCAGCCAACCGTCTGAGCCGCCGCCGCCGCCGCCGCCGCGGCTGTGTCCGCCGCCGCCTTGGACGTCGATTACGGCGGCCGGCGGCGCCGGCGGCGGGCCGTCCAAGGGCGGCGGTCCGAGGTAGAAGCAGTACTGCTGCACCGCCAGCAGCGCCAGCAGCGGCACCGCGAGGCTGCGCCACATCAGCGCCTGCAGACTTGACTGCGGGTTGTAGACGAGCGGGTGAGGTGCGCTGTGATGAGAGCGGCGCCGAGCCGCAAGTTGTACGGGGCGGCAAGCGAGTCATCCATACACACGCCAGGGAACGAGCAAGCCCAACAACAGGAGCACCGGCCATGACCAGGCGGATGTGGTGGCATGCTGAAAGCACAGCTGTCTGCAGGAGCAGCTGCCGCCGAGGCAGGCGCGAGGCAGCTGCCTTCAGATCTGATCAAATCAGATAAGATAAGATCAGATCGTATCGAACCATCATCAAACCACTGTGGCCCGTGGCCCGCCCTCTCACCCTCCTGCCGGGCGCGACCAGCGGCATTAGGGCCAAATAGACAAGGGACAGGCCGTTGGCGGCGACGAGCGCCGCGACGAGCAGCGAGAGGGCGCACAGGTCGACGCCAAACACGCCCCAGAATCCGACGACGGCGCCCGCGAGCCGCGTGCCGAGCGCCGGCCCCGGCCGCGCGCGGGCGGCCTGTGGGCGGGCGGGGTTGGGTGAGGGTCGCGGGGAGGGGGAGTTGGTGCGCAGCCTCTGAGTGTGCGTTTAGCTGTAGCTGCTGGTACAAATGGACTTACAAATGCACTGCGTCGCGCAAGCACAGCGACGAATGCTATTGGGCAAGCGGCGTCGCAGCTGGTCGCTGCTCGAAAAAGAAGCGATCAGTTCGTGCCCCGCACTTGAAACACCCACCCTGGCGTCCGCCCCTCCGTCGCCGCCGCGGCCTGCCGGCGCGGGCGCGGCCGTCTGGTCCAGCGCCCCCTTGACCCGCGCCAAGCTCGCCAGCACAGGGTGCGCCGCGGCCTCCCAGGCGCCGCCGCCTGCGGCGCCGGAAGCTTCCGGGAAGCTGCCGTCCGGGAGGTCCATGGCCCGGAGCACTTTTGAGGCGCTGGCAGTCACGCGCCTGACAGCCTAAGGGGGGGGGGTGGGGGATGATGATGCGGCTGTCGCATGCGCTTTGAGTGAAGGCATGTGAGGTTTGCCCTTGAAGGGATTGCTTGTGTTGTTGGCTCTTTGAGGTTTGCTTGGGGAGGGTGGTCGCTGAGAGGGCAGGGCGATGCAGAAATTGGGAGTGGGGCAGGAGCAGGGTGCCGAGAAACCCAGCAGCTGCTGCGTAGGGTGCCTGCGACACACACCTGCACATGACAGCAGGCCCGCCTGCCCGCCAACCCGCCGCACGTGCGCCTCCGTGCGCACACTCGCGCACGCGCGCACACACACACACAGCTCCACACAAACACACACACACACACACACACATAAACACACCCGCGCACGCACATACGCGCAACTCATCCACAAAACCAGCCTTCAACCCACCTTCAGGAGTGATCTCTTGAGCTGCGCGACCCACCGCCCCGCCCCCGCCGCCAGAGGGTGCGTCAACCCCTCTTGAGCCGGCCCCGTCGCGCCGCCAACGCCGCCGCTGCTGCCGCCCCCGGCGCCGGCGCGGGAGGCGAGGGGCGGCCAGAACAGCGGGCACGCGTCGCCGGGCGGCGCGGCCGCCCTGAGCTCTGGCGGCAGCCGCCGCTCCCACCTGCAGAATCAAATGGCCGGCCACCAGCAAGGTAGCGGAGAGCAAATGGGCCACATTTTGCAGGGGAGCGGATGAGGTCAAGTGCGGCTAGAAGTTGGGCATCTCCGGCTGTTGCGACTCCACACACGACAGTGCAAGATTTGGCCTTTGACTCGCCTACTGCCAGCGGCGCGGGCGCGCGCAGCGCGCGTGGACGCGGCAATCCCTCCAGCCCACCTCCGCGCCCGCTGCCACAGCGCCGCCGCCGCCAGCAGGAGCGCCTTCCACCTTAGTAGCGCCTCCACGCCGGCGCCACCCTCCGGGAAGGGAAGCTGCCCAGAAGCCGGGTCCGGCCCCAAGATCGGCGTCCCGAGCCACGCGAGCGCCCAGGCAGCAGCTGCCCCGCAGCTTCCGATGAGGGCGTCCTTCACCGCGGGGACTTGGAGGGCGTAGCAGGCCAGCAGCCATGCGGCACTCAGCACTTGTAGCAGCACGATCGGCACCGCTCCGCCGCCGCCGCCCCCGGGGCCTGACGCTGCGTCCAAGGCACCAGCGGCCCCGCGCCGCGCCGGCGCCAGCGCGGCGGCGCCGGCGACGAGAACGGCGCCGACCGCGCTGGGCAGCTGCATGGCGGCTGCCACGCAGGCGGCGAGGAGGAGCTTCCCCGCGTGCAGCACCAACCAGCGGCGGCAGAGCCATGCGGCGGAGGCCTGGCGCGGGACAGAACCTCGCAGCTCGAGGCGGGCACGGCGGCCGCAGCAGGCGAGAGCGCCTCCGAGGGCGAAGAGTCCCCTGCGTTTTTGAATGATTTTGAACGGTGGGTGCTGCAAATTGGGGACGACGTACGTCACCATCTAAGGAACGAGTCAAGGTCGCTTTGAGGCAGTCCATTACGTTGGGAAATCAGCCGAGCCGCCTGGCAGGCAGCACGCTGCTGCCTCTAAACGAAGTTTGGACTCCCACCATTACTACCTGCAAACGACCCATGCGGCAGCCACGACCACCCCTTTAGCAAGCACGCACGCACCTGTACACGCTGATCCCCGCGATCAGCGCCACCGGCCGCAGCAGCGCCATCCAAAGCGCCCCGCCGCCCGCGGCTGCGTCGATGCCGCAGACACGGCGCAGGAAATCGGACACCGCCTGCGGGACCTCGCCCGCCTGCGCCGCCGCCGCCAGCCCAAACTGAGACATCAGGTCGGCCGCCGCCAGGCACCCCAGCAGCCAAGGCAGCAGCCACCGCCACGCGCCGCCGCTGCAGCACCCAATGCCGCGCTGGGGGGAAGTTGGAGAGGCGGAGGCTGTCTGGGGGTGCCCCTTCAAGGAGGCAACGTAATCCTCGCCGCTTGGCGGCTGCAGCAGGATCCAGATCAGCAGGAGCAGGTAGGCCGATCCGAGGAAGCAGATGGGGGTGTCCCACAAAACGAGGATGTAGGCCTGTGTGAGTGCGGAGGGGCAGAGCGCCAAGGGACAGGGTGACGGGGTGCGTGGGCGAGGGCGGTGCATGTACTTCGGCAAGAAGCGGCGGCGGGAGTGCCTGGCTTTGACAGAGGCTGCACCGCCCGCTGGTGCAGGTGCGCCGGGGGCCTGGTGCCGTCACGGCTGATAATCCTCCCAGGGTCCTGTCATCTTTCCTTTGTGATCCCTCCCTCTTTCCGGAACCTCACCCTCCCTGTACATAGACACACAACACACACACACACACACACACACACACAGACACACACACACACGCACGCACATGCACATGCTCGCACGCACGCATGCACACACACACGCACGCACACACATGCATCCACACACATGCATGCACACATATGTGTATGTTGATACAAACACATGCATGCACACATACATGCACGCATGCGTGCATGCAGATGTATACGCACATGCATGCACATGCACATGCACTCGCATGCACGTACCGCACACACGCACACACACACACACACACACACACACAGGAACACATGCATGCACACATGTGCGAAGCAGCGCGCCTTTTCCACACACCAGCAAGACTAACAAGTAGGCGCCCGCCGTCAGCGCCGCCGCTGACAGCGTCGCCACAACAGAGTACAGCGGCTTTGGATGCACCGCCCGAAGCCAAAGCCGCACGTCCCCGCCCACAGCGGCCCCCTCCTCCCCCTCTCCGATCGCGGTCAGCGGCCGGGGCTCCGCGCCGGGCGCGGCCGCGCCGGACGCCGAGCCTGCCGCGGGCCGCGCGCCTAGCCAGCTGCCCAGCGCGACGTGCACTGTCGCCCCGATCAGCACCAGCAGGATTGGCCCTAGATCCGCAAACAGATTCGGGTCGTACAGTCCGAGCAGCCGCAGTATCCTCTCGTTCGCGTCGGACTGCAGTCCAGGGAGCTGCAGCACCAGCGCCGCATAGACCACCAGGAGGTGGACTGTCCCGTAGACCCGGACTACCGCGTGC